TCAGATAGATAGATAGATAGATAGATAGATAGTAATAGGATGGAGATAGATAGATAGATAGATAGGTAGATAGATAGATAGATAGATAGTAGGGATATTTCTAAGGAGGACATTAATCCAAAGAGAGTTCAACGTAATTACAAAGCAATATAATAATGAGTACAGAATCCTTAAAAGTCCACCCGGTTATAATTTATTTTATTAAGTATTTACATTCATCTCTTCAGACCGGCATTTTATTAAGAAATGGAGTCAATGGATCCAGACGAAAGTAAAAGAGAGAAAGGAAAAAGTTTTAATATTAAAAGAGGAAGAAAGTTTCAATATAATGTTTTAAAAAAAAATTTGGAGGGGTAAGAGAAAGAAAGAGAACGAGTGAAAGGGAGGGGAGAGGGAAGGAGAAATGGAGAGAAAGAAAAGAAAACTGGAAAAATTAAACATAAGCCGATAGGGTGACCTAGAAATTATTTTTTTTCTCTCAGGAATGGACAAGTTAAAAAAAATGGACGAGGGAGAGAGGCGATCAGATTCAAAGTAGATACATTGAATTGTCTCGTCATTTTTCGACAGCGAAGCCATCATCATCGCATTATAACCATCGCAATTACAAATTGTCCTCCTGGATTAATAAATTAAAAATTTATTACTTCTTTAGAAACTGAGCAGATACGAAATTTCGATAATCTATAACGAGAAGGATTTCTCTTAAACGCACTATTCAGCCGTGCTTGATCCCAGAATTTTCTTCATGACCGAGTTGGTTAAAGCACTCACCCCAGGGAGACGCAAGTGGGAATCCTGCTTGATAGTGTATATTTTTCTTTATTAAGATTTTTCGAATATTCAAGCCAGTAGACGAAAATAAATTAATATACCACTTAATAAATATACGGAGCGTCTACTTAAATGCCACTATCCTCTAAAAATAAACAAAATATCCATTGCTTTACATATATATATATATATATATATATATATATATATATATATATATATATATTAAATTGTAATTATTTTTGGAAAATATGATTCCTTCGCTACATAAGAGTTCTCATGTTTCAAAAACAGGAGCCAAAAACCTCAATATAATTATTGAAATTAAATTGAATTAAAGTATGAAGCTCTGTTTCATCCTCAAGCGAAAATTTAGGAATAACCTATCTTTAAATTTACGCATTGAGCCTCTCGTTTTTGAAACATGAGAACTCTTATGTAGCGAAGGAATCATATTTTTTTTAAATAATTATAATTTAAGCTCTACTTCTGTATGGAGCACTGTTTTTAAATAAAAACAAAAATACTAAAGAACCCCGGATTATTTACTTAACGTGTTCTTACCTATTTTCTATTTATTTGCGCACACATATATATATATATATATATATATATACTCTGTCACAGTACTATAAGACAATACTTATTTAATGCTGAGATTTTTTTTATCTATACAACCACACCACACTCATATTTTTTATTTGAATGTGTGAGTATACTCTTGTGATCATTTATTACCATACAGTATATATATATATATATATATGTATATATATATATATATATAGATAGATAGATAGATTGAGCGGGAAGGTGTTTGTAGACACGCGCACTTTAAAACACAATTTTATTTCCTCCCATTTGTTTCATTTTTCTAATACCACCCCCTTCACATTCCTTATTTTTGTAAAGTGTTTTTCAGCGTTTCTTTTTGTGTGTGTGTGTGTGTGTGTGTGTGTGTGTGTGTGTGTGTGTGTGTGTGTGTGTGTGTGTGTGTGTTTTCTACTTTCTTTTGCCTTCTTTCCTTACCTTCTGTTGTTGTCTCCGGAGATTACCCGTCCCACACCTCCTTGAAGCTGAATTTCTAAGCATCAACCAAAGCAATTCGCTGACAGATAGATTTTGCAGACAGGCCGAACAGCTTCAAACTCAAATGCAAGTACAAAATGCTCACAGTGTTTGGTGTACGCAATGACCTATAAGTCCGCAACATAACCACACACACACATAAAAAAATATATATATATATATATATATATATATATATATATATATATATATATATATATATATATATGAAAATATACGCTACACTACGGATGAACGTCGTAAACAAAACAAAAAATGTCAATGAGAATATATTTTATAGTCATTCGTTTCAAATCTTTGGGGGTGTGGGATGAAGCCGATCATAGCTCTTTACGGAATCCTTATATGAGAATTTCCATGAGTTCTTCAGAAAGACATTGGTGGAGTTTTTCATTGACGTCTCCAGGATTTTCTTTTTTTTTAATTCAGAAGTGTCTTTCTCGTAGACTAGACACCATTAAAACTAGAGAGCCCAATAAAATGTCTCATTGCATCTTCCTATTGCTAACGTTTTCAGCTGGCATGAAATGAAAAGATTATGTGTCTATATTTCTGAGATGAGGTATTATGTACACTATTTACATTATTCAGACTATTGTTCTTATCTTTGTCGCCATATTTATTACAACGTTTCGGCCCTTCAGTATCTGTCTATATTTCTGAGATGAGGTATTATGTACACTATTTGCATTATTCGGACTATTGTTCTTATCTTTGTCGCCATATTTATTACAACGTTTCGGCCCTTCAGTATCTGTCTATATTTCTGAGATGAGGTATTATGTACACTATTTGCATTATTCGGACTATTGTCCTCATCTTTGTCGCCATATTTATTACAACGTTTCGGCCCTTCAGTATCTGTCTATATTTCTGAGATGACGTATTATGTACAGTATTTGCAGTATTCGGACTATTGTCCTCATTTTTGTCGCCATATTTATTACAACGTTTCGGCCGTTGTACGCTCCAGCCTTCTTCAGGTGGTTGGAATGTCGAACTGAACCTTTTATTTCGCTCACTGGGGTAGACTGTTCTAGTGCCACGTGCCATGTTTGTAATGGGTGTCAGTTATCAGTTATCTCCTGTTAATTCCCCTCTCCAAGTTCTCCACTGCCTTAACCGGGTATTGAATTCACAACTCTTTGGGTCCTGTCACTGGATCTAACCAACGCCTTTATCCACTGTGCCATGTGTCCTGAAGGCAGTGGAGAACTTTGATCAAAATGAAATATACTTATCTAACTAACATGAGTGAAGACACTCCACCACTGAATTTTTCCCCTTTGATTTAAATTAAATTTAAATTTGAACAAGGGCATGACTCCTATCCAAAATATAGGAGAAAGCCGGAGATGGAAGTCACATCGGCAAGATCAAAATGGGACAATATGGACGTCAAATTGGGCAAGAAAACACCAATCAGTGGGTAATGCCTTACAATACATATTTGTTGTGACAATTCAACTGTCATATCAATGTTGATATATGCTCATCAATTCATTCAATCAACTATTGCATCTAATACATAAAAAAGATGTCAGATCAAGCTGTTTTTGCACAAACTTTTCACTGGAATTTTTTTCCCCTTTGATTTAAATTAAATTTAGATTTGAACAATGGAATGAATCCTATGGTACTTAGATAAGTATATTTTATTTTGATCAAAGGAAGTAGCCCGGGTTGGGGTACCCCTGCCACAGAATTTTTCCCCTTTGATTTAGATTAAATTTAAATTTAAACAAGGGAATGACTACTATCCAAAATATAGAAGGAGAAAGCCAGAAGATGGAGGTCACAACAGCAAGATCATTGAGTAATATTGAAATGCATCATTTTTCTCCACAAATTATAACAATGCTTTAAAATCATCATTTTCTTACAAAAAATGGCTAATTCGGCTAGAAATGTTATAAAGTTCGTAGGACTCTCTTAATTGCGGTTAATAATACTGTAAGGAACCACTGGAAGAAAAGGTTGAAGAACAGATTTAATTGCATGAGAGACATTGATTAATTATACAGTAGTCGAAAATACCGTATGACTCAACGGTTAAGCCTTACGACCCACTTTCCGACGACGTTGCTATTAGCAGAAGGTCTATTTGTGGTGGATGGACGTATCTATGTTCAACAATTAGTGTACAGAAGGTCGGTCGTCTTTCTACACAATAAATGAACTCTTTAACTGGCTTTATTTCTAGAGTTTACGAACAGAAATATAGTCGAGATATCCTGTATTTGCCACGTTATGAAAAGTTATTTACACCATCATCCTTACAAAATTCAGTTGGTACAGAAAATAAAAACTAATAGAGTATGAGCAGCGGCTTAATTTAATGAATGAATTGGCAAGAGTTATAGAGAATCTGCTGAATGCGAGGTCCAAAATGGAAACAGATGGTGAATGCGAGGACCAAAATATAAAGAGCCCGTGAATATGAGAACCAAAATGGAAAAAGCCCGTCAAAGCGAGATCTAAAATTCAAGGAGCCCTTGAATGCGAAGCCCGAAATGTAATGAGACCGTTAGTGTGATGCTCAGCATGGAAAGAGCCCATGAATTCGAGACCCTGAATGAAAACAGCCGGCGAATGCGTGATCAAAATGGAAAGAGCCCATGAATTCGAGGTCCAAAATGGAAAGAGCTTGTGAATTCGAGGTCCAAAATGGAAAGAGCCCGTTAATTCGAGGTCCAAAATAGAAAAGGCTCGTGAATTCGAGGTCCAAAGTGGAAATACCCCGTCAATGGAAGGCCAAAAATGGAAAGACTCCGTCAATACAGCACAAATTATTGGAAACAGCAGTCGGTTATTTGACTGCAGGAAAACTATGATTAAATTACACTAGAAACGGTATATTGCTACCATATCTGGGTTTGACTTGCATAATTCTCACTTTCTAACCCCAATAGAATTTGCAATCGTTTATGGGTTCCTGTAGAGAAAACCTAATCGCTACTAAACGGTCTTTTCCCTCGAAATGCAACGCTCAAATCAATCGTTACTCTATCGCTATTTCCATGCCAAATGTTCACTTTTTAATTCCAACATTTCAGATCTTTATAACAAGAACACATTATGCCACATCCATAGAATCAAATCAACGACATTTCCCTCGTATTCCAATTATAAAGAGGAAGCTCCACTCAAACAGCTTTACCCAAGAAAAAACTACTTTGTGGATCAGACTTCTGCCTGAATACTTCCCTGAATACTACCGTCTCTTCAGGTCAGAGGTCAATCGCTGTCTATCCTCCTTATCCTCATAACTTCCACTTCCTCCCACATTCATATCACGTACCATGTATTGGGTTGGTTGTTTTTGTTTAGCGGCATATCAATTACTATCGGTTATTTAATGCCGAAATAGAAATATTTTCGTACACAATTTTATTTTAATTTTGAAGGTAATACTGGTTTAGTGATACAAATCTTACTAATTAACCCATAGCTGAAGGGAGAAGAGGTGGATTCATATCTTTTCAAAGGCTATTTGCACGTAAGTGAATATAACTAACTCTACTGGAACAAATCCGTGTCAATATCCATTACATCGCCAACACATCCACTCTTACAGCACCTGGTATTCTCAAGCGGTCACCCATCCAGGTACTGACCAGGCTCGACGTTGCTTAACTTCAGTGATCGTACAGGAACCGTCGTTTCAACGTGGTGTGGCCGTAAGCATGTAATGGGTGAAATTTAGCAAAAGAAAAATAAATTGCAGAATCAGTGAAATGCTCGTTGATAGCTTCATGGCAAGATTGATTGGCGAAAATATTCCAAGGGTTTTATTTTTAGATATGGCATAGCAGTTTCATACTGAAACATTCCTGTTATGGCATCTCTGTAAGAGTTTACACCATCGTTAAGTCTTTTCTCTCGAGTAGGACGTAAATATTAATTACCATTTTTTCTAAATTTGATGAATCAATACAGGAATCCCCGGATGCATTCTACACACTCTGCTTTTTTATAATCGATCTGCCTCAGAACTTTCTCAGATCATTTGTAACACCACAGTTTATGGATGCACTTCCCAAAATCAGGACATTCGGAATCTTTCAGTTGATCCCTCTTCTAGCTGTAACTCCATTGTAACATCCATTATTCAAAAAAACAAACTAATATCCTTTTACCATCATCTATCATACTCTGAACATTAAAATTGTTATAGCATACCTACGGATGATAATGGGTATGTCCCTATTCGCATAAATACAGTAGTAAATACTGTATGTTGGTCTGCAGTCGGAGATTCGTCTCCAGCTGTGATGGTTAAACTTCCGAGTAGAGAGCATCCCCAGACAAAGCTATGTCGAAGGGCAGAGTCTCGTCCAAGGAAACAGCTACCCGACACCGTTTTATACGGGGTCTACAAGGAATTTTTGGCCGCGCCTACGGGCTCGGACACCCCACATTAAATTCGGCCTTGTGCAACATCTGACCGCGTGTGGCGGCTGGTAGATATCCTGCAGTTGGAGATTCGTCTCCAGCCGTGCTGGTCAAACACTCTGCTTCCGGGCAGAGAGGATCCCCAGACGAGGCTATGTCGAAGGGCAGAGTCTCGTCTCGGGAAACAGCCAGCCGACCCCGTTTTATACGGGGTCTACGGAGAAATTTTAGCCGGGCCTATGGGCTCGGATACCCCACAATAAACTCGGCACATCTGACCACATGGGGCGATTGGTAGATATTTTGCAGTTGGATATTCATTGTGGAATTCACTTGACTTACTTCTAGTAGTTGACTACTACTTCTACGCGTCGCTGGCGAATCTTATATGTGTTGTTCTTGTCTGAAGTATTATCGTTCATTATCAAACTTCGTTTGTTTATTCTATTCAGTATCTTTCCCTAGGTTACAGCAACAATCTTAAACTCTCCGTATCAAGGGCCAATCGTTATCTATCTTTCTTATTTCTTATCCTCATGATCTTCATTTCCATCAACTCCTTTATCATTCACATCACATAACACATTCATCATATCCATTTTAACGATAACCATAGTGTCAAACAGAAAAAATTCAAGATATGAGATTAGTAAATACAAAACACAGCAAATACCTCGGTGTATGGACAAGTTATAAGTTTGGAAGTAAAGTCTGATGATCCGCAATCCTTTTAAAAGGGTTGTGGTGAAATAATTTATTACATGGAACCTTAAAGTGGTCTGTTTTTATTTAAATTATTTGTTATGAATTTACATTGAGCTCTCTGGATTTTATCCTCCTTAGGTTTACCCATACGGATTACCTAGTTTTTCATAAACTATATATATATATATATATATATATATATATATATATATATATATATATATAGCAAACTTTGAGACGAGCCCCCTTCCCTATTCTACTACATGTTGATTTCAAAGTTTCCCAAACTGGGGCTACAAACCCCCGAAGGAAAATTGGTTGGGAAAAGGCAGTGCTTTTTTTTAATTACAAAATATCAGGGAATTATCAAGTTGAAATAAAAATTTCAGTACATATTCATAAATTATTTACTTTTATAATAATTTTTTAAAATTCTGAGAAAAAAAAAAATATATATATATTTTTGTAATAGCCACCAATTTCTTCATGTCTAAATTTTACTCTAATAAAATTAAGTCGCAAATTTTTTTTACATATCCATATAGGTTAATCGCCGATACATCTCCGCTGAAAAAAAAAAAAGTTTTACAAAGATTCCAACAAAAAACAAATGGGATTGTCTTAAAAATTTGTTTTAAAAACAGTATTTCAGTTTGGGGGAAAACCTTTTCATGTGTTAAAATCTTTAAACTTTTTTTTATTTTTTAAGCGATTATTTTCTCGGTTTTATCTTTCTTAGAAATATAAAAAAAATAGGGACTAGAAATTTTATTTTAATTACTAGCCGTGGACTTCTGGTTAGTTTTACTATTAGTAAAAAAAATCAAAGATCCTCTTTAGTGGATGATCTAGGAATAAAAAATGATTTTACTGAGATATATTAACCTCTTAATTGATTCAAAAGAACTGTTCAAAAAAAAAATTACAATTTAAAAAAATAAGCGATACTGAAATTAGCAATTTTCCAAACCCTCCCCAGTAGCCATGAAGACCCCACGCAGCTGAAATGTTCGAGGAAGTAAGCACCGGTGCTATCGATTATTATGGTTGATGATTGACAATATAATTTAGAAGGGAAAAAAGCAAAAAATGCTACTGAAACTAGCCCTTTTGGGGCTCTAACCACGTTGGGGGTCCATGCGTAGTACACACCGCACCGGCTATACACGATGTATATTATATAATCGATGACTAACAATGTAACGTCAGTTTAAAAATAATTAAAAACAATGGCGGATCGATATAAAACAGTGTTGAAAAATGGCAGAAGCCACAAGGGGTCCCCTAAAAATAGCGACCCCCCCGTTTGGGGATAAGACGCGCCGGCCCTGGGATTTCGTATAAAACGTGTTAGGTACATTTAGTTTTTAACTGTCGCTGTTGTTAGATTATGGCGCTTTTTATGTATCTATCAGTCTGTTCATTATCTATATATCTATCTATGAACAACAACAACAACATGACAATCTTAACCTCTTCATGTCACTCTTCCTTATTCTCATAATCTTTTTCCCTATCAACTCCTCTATATCACATACCTCATTCACCAGTCCTATTTTAATAATAAACCTCTACTTTGAATGGCTCTTGAATCTTATAATGGGTGGACTTTATAAAAAAACATTCATTTTTTTTTCTTACTTCCATCGTTTTATGAGAATTGTTCCTGTTTAAATCTACAATCTTCCCCCTTTTTGGTTCCAAAAGTAAATTAATTTTAAATAATTTTTTACCCTTTTATTCCTACCTACACTTCTATTCCGGACGTAAGAATATAAAAAGTTGTCTTAGCATAAATCGTATGGACAAGATAATGTTGTCAAAACTATTATAGCTTCATGACCATGGGCTTTCGTATTCGATTTAAGGTTGAAAAGATGGAAACTATTTTTAAATGTAACTTGACAGAAGTAACACATTAACATTATAACATAAACATTCAAATAATTTTGAAAATTTGTAAAAAGTAAAACTGAAAATTAATATTTATTTCAAAATCAACAAAAATTGATATGTTAACTCGTTTCCACATTAAATGGACTCTAAAAAAATAACACTTATCTATAGAACTGAATCGTTTTTTTTTTTTAAGTCGTTTTGATTTTTCTGAGTTTATTTTTTATGACTTCAGTTGCATATAATCTCTTCTTTCGTGTTTCGTTTTTCAAAGAATGTATGAGTGGCATCCATGATCATAATACTTTACATCTCGACTTTCGCCTGAAGAACTTGTAACCCGGGCAACAGCACGGAATAACCACGCTAGAAAACGGATTCTGTAACATGAGACGCATAAAATGACGCAAGGACGGATTTCGTGGCCTATGCAGTTAAAGGATTGCCACTTTCGGGCCAGTCTTCTTGTAAACAAGATTGATTCGAAAAGCAAGTCAATGAGTCGCGTTATATAAACTGCACTAAAAATCTATTCCGCAACCCAAGCACTACGGACATTTTCAAAAAATATATAGCATCAAAATGTCTATGTAACTTTCTTCTTTTTTTTCATTTTCACACTTTGGTTGCCTCCACCCAACACACTAATCTCTACAATTTTTACAGCTACATTTAAAAATAGTTCCCATCTTTTCAACCTTAAATCGAATACGAAAGCCCATGGTCAGGAAGCTATAATCGTTTTGACAACATTATCTTGTCCATACGATTTATGCTAAGACAACTTTTTATATTCTTACACCCGGAAGTGTAGGTTGGAATAAAAGGGTAAAAAAATATTTTAAATTAATTTACTTTCGGAACCAAAAAGGGGAAAGAGGAGATTGGAATAAACAGACAAATTGGGAAAAATTTGAAATTTAAATAAACGAGCTATCTGGAATAACTGGGAGATTTAGGAAAAATCAGAATTTAAACCGAGTAGGCCTGTATATTCGGGATGCAAGAATATTTCAGGGTATAATAATTATCACCAAACAGATATCCAAAATGACTGCTCACTCATTTTCATCCGCATCAATCATTTTGACATGTCAGTGACGAGATATTTTGTCAAACTCTCCGGAATATGGATTCATATTTGTCTCAGGAGCAGTCGTACTAAAGTAACCACACTTTCAATCTATCTAAACGCCTTGTCCCTTCAGTGAGTATGCGATAATGTCTCTCCACATCTTTCTTTTTCTTTAATATCTTTCAAAGCTGTTCTTGCTAATACTGTGAAAGCTGACAATATTATTACTTCATGTCCCAAGGTGTTATCCCCCAGACATTACCTCTCCTTCGAGGGGGAGCTGGGGTCATTATCCGGTGCCTCAGGCGTCCACAAACAGGCAAGTGCCGAAGAGGCTTAAGTAATTTTACGTTTCTCCAGAAATTCTTGTGTCACATTCCGTTGCAACTTTGGCGCGCTGATAAATATCCCTCCCTGGTGAAGAAAAGATGAATTCATCCCGAGGGCACTAGTGTCAAATTTGAAGTTGATTCCATTTCCACACATAATCATCTGCATAACACCACAAAACTTCACTTCATGGCGCTTACGTTCATAAAAAAACACACAGTAACCTTTACCTTGAGTGTCTCTTGGGCCGTGTATTAGGTGATAATTAGTATTAAAAAATACA